AAGTGGTAGGCTGGAGTAAGGTGCATGACAGCTGGAGGGAAAATTTGGGATGGGTACAGCAGCACATTTTTCCCCAATCATGAATGACAAAATTATGCACAAAAGACCTGGCATGGCATATGCATGCATACACCACACATCTTGTGACATTTCCCAAAGTGAATTTCAGACTCATTCACCCTCACTCAATAGCTCAAAAATGTTACTTTTGATCCTATTTGTATAATAACGGTGAAAGCCATGGTGTGAAAGTCATGGAACAAGTGTGACATTACCCTGGCAATCAGAGAATAAACCACTCATACTACGGTTGTCCTGGGGCAGCTCACAGCTGGGCAGAAGAGCAGCAGAATCCACTGTAGCCTGTTAGCCTGCAGGGGCAGGCCAGGGACAGAGCAGAGCCCAGTGAGCAGGACTGCCTCAGCCCGAGCACAGGCTGGTTTCATGGTGCATAGGGATCGTTGCCCATGGCTGCCCAGGTCCTCTGGTTTGGGCCCCACATGTAGGGCAGCACAATGCCACCGTTCCTCTGAGTCCCAGGGGACAGGAGCCAGGACAAATCATCTTGTCAGAGCAAGGGATATGTGACCACTGTGCACTCAGTCTCACATGTGCCCTGGTGTCTCCACACAGAAGCCAGCCAAAGAGCGAGGCACAGCACAGTATACCAGCCTGTCCTGTCCACCAAGGTGCTCATCCGTCCCACCCCCAGGGATGGGGCCAGCAGCTTCTGCCCAGGAGTGTTTCCATGGAGGAACAAGTGATTTCTCCCAGCAGAGTAAGAATGAAATCCTGCCAGGAGAGGAAATGCTTTAAAAACTCCAAGAGACAGGAGGGTTCTGTGGCTGGGAAACTGCTGGGTCAACAGGCACCAAGATGAAGATGTAACATTAAATGTACTGGGCATGGAGGGGGGAAAATTATGTCATCAACACATGCAAAAATAAGGGTATATCACATTTAAGGAAATAGCAAGCCAGGGCACAGCAGTATGCACAAACATGGCATATGTATAACTCCTTTCTAATGTATCTTACTATGACAGGAGACTCTAGGCAAGTCACTTTATGTCCTATCCCTCCATTTTCCTGTGAAATGGTAATACTCAATGCATCAGGCTGTTCTAGGGAGGAAAAAGAATATATGAAATATGATACAGTGCCAAACATAGGCCATTAGTCCACTGATGCCAAATCTGTAGGAACATAACAAACGGAGGCTGTGGAGGTCTCAATTTCTACCAACCTGAAGAGCCCGCAAGGCTTCCTAGTGGGGAAAGAGGAACAACGAACTGGAAGCAGCACCCAGAATGAGCACCTGATTGGAGAGGCTAGCCATGAAGCAATTTTAGCCACTATGGTATAAGGTCATGAGTGGCTGACCTAGAGTGTAATTAATGGATCAGTACAAAAAGATGAGTCTTTTTAAAAAGAGTACCTATATCTTGGGGGAAATTTACTAAGGGATAAAGAACAAAGGTCTAGAAGCTGATACAGGCAATGGAGTAAGGGGCACTGGAATCGGAATTACATGGATTTAAGCTCTCCATTACTGCTTATAAACGGTGTGTCCTTGGAAAACAAACCTGGCCTCCCTGAACCTCACATCTGTAAAGAATTCTAATTTCATGGGTCAATTCCAATTCATAGCAGTCTCCCATGTGTCACAGTGAACTGTGCTCCACAGGGTTTTCAGGGGCCTTTTCCGAGGGACCTCTGAGCTTTTGCTTAGGAGATGAGTACATTCATTTCCTGGTAGCACTGTTGAGTAAGAGTTGGACAGCTAACTGCAATGTCAACATACAAACCCACCAGCTGCTCCACAGGAGAAAGATGAGGCCAGACAAAGAGTGAGGCAGTACACTGCACATCCTACAGGTTTACAGTCTCAGAAACCCTATGAAAGGGCACTGAGAATCCAATTTCAGAGGGCTAGTTACTACATTGGTATGTTATTAATACATGGTTTCAAATGCTTCCCTGGCCCCTCTGCCTGAATACTACACACCAATTATCCCTCTGATTGACTCTTATCTAACAGTAAGTTTAATATCAGCTCTTTGGAAAACTTGGCCCTAGCCAACATCCAGTCTAATTACTTCCATAATAGCACTTAACCCCAAGTATCGTAGTTCTCAGTTTATTTTATCTAGCCCTTGTCCCCTCTACAAGTAACTGTTATTGACAGCAGCCACTGGGTCGAACTCACCTTTGTATTGCTAATATTTACATAACTGGTACAGAATAAGTCTCAGAAACTTTGCATTAACAACTGAAAAAAATAAGTAAATCGCAAAATCATACTAACTCATTGTTAAGTCAATTCCATTTCATAGAGGCCCTACACGACACAGTAGAAATTGCCCTGTAGTTTTCAAGCCTTTAAATCTCTATGGAAGCACACTGCCACACCTTCCTGGCCTGGAGCAGCTAGTGAGTGCAAACCCAGGCCTTTTGATTCACAGCAGAGCACTTTCTACTCTACCCCCGGGGCTGCTTTTGAAAATTATACTCACTCACGGCCATGGAGTCAATACTGTCTCAAAGTGACCCCCTGGGGGTTTCAGAGACTATCTGTTCACAGGCGTAGAAAGCCCAATCTTTCTCCCGAGGAGCCGCTAGTGGTTTTGAACTGCTGACCATTTGGAGTCACAGCCCAACATAGAACCACTACAGTACTGAAAGAACATTGCTACCTAAACTTGTTTCCTAATGAATATAATCGTGTTTTAAATTTAAAGGCCGTTATTTTAGAAATTCCGTTCTCTCTCCAATGTTACACTACATCATCACAACCATCCATCCAATTTAAAGATGATGTTTTATAAACATAGAACTCCAACCTATAATGCAATCTTATCAAAAGCAAGCTTCTTGAGGGATGGGGCTATGTCTTCTTGACTGCTGTTTTTCTGCACCTAGTTCGGTGCCTGAAACAGAGTAGGTGTCCAAAAACATTTGCTGAACAAATCAAGTCACTTTAAAAAAAGACACAAAATATACCATTTAAAATATATAGGTAATGCAAAATTAATGGTCTCTTTCACTCCCTATAACAAAGCTAACCTTATAAGGCATTTTTTGTTTGGTTTTGTTTCTTTGCTGACAAAAATCCTCAACTACTTAGAAATTCAAGTATCAAGTACCAACTATAGGTAAAATTGTGAATATCTAGAAACAATCTATGTTGGCTGGTTTCCCTTTAAATTTATGACATTGACCTCAAAAGTGGGTCCTGAGTGCTGTATTTCCAAAGTCCATTTATTCTCCACTGCCTAAAATCCAGGCACTCTGGCGGCGTGGTGGGCTACACATTGGGGCATTAAGTCAGTAGTTGGAAATTACTAGCAGCCCCAAAGGAGCAAGATGAGGCTTTCTATGCCCTTAAAGACGGACAGTTTTTGAAACTACGGGTGCAATTTTACTCTGTGCCATAGGGTCACTCTGAATTACAATCTACTCATTGACAGTGAGTTTAATATTTTTGGTTCATACTTCCTCCTCCATTTTACATCCCCCTGTTTTTCCTCTCCCAGCTAATGGTCTTGCTTCCTATTTCCTTCTACCATGTTACAGTAGATCAGTTTAATAATTTACTGAAAAGTCTCCGACGACGGGTGGGGAGTGCGGCATTAAAGATCCCAGTACTCAGTCTTTGAACCACTCACTCCCTCAAGCATCTCTCTTATGGCTTTTACATTCCATTTACCTATTAACAATTACTAATTACTACACTCACATCATCAGCCCAGACTTCCCTAATATACTTGTTCCATATACACTAGTGTATATTGATACATCCATTTGGAAATCTAATAGTATCTTAAATTTAACATGCTCAAAACTGAACATAGTTTCAGATCTTCTCTCCCCCATTTCTAGTGTACTCTTCTCCACCTTACTACTTGGTAACTCCATTCTTGAACTACAACCCACTCTGTCAGTAAAACTATGGTCTACAGTTTCCAATGGTTGGTTTGTGGGTACCTTATTGCCAGGCCTTTCTTCCAAGGCACCTCTCGGTGGGCTTGAACCGCAAACCTTTTTGTTACCAGAGTAGCTGTTAAACCTTTTTCTTCAGGCCACAGAGTTTATAATCATCGACACCTAAGCTACACCTGTAGCTTAGAAGCAAATCTAGAGCTAGAACATTTCTCATCACCTCCACTATTATCGCCCACATATGCTCCTGTAAAGATTTATAACACCTGGGTAATCAATTCGTGAAAGTGGGTTTGGCTGGGCTGGAGTTGGTACTATCCTCAGGCACACTTCTTTCCCTGCACATTGAAAATTCCACTAGCAACTTCATCTATGGAAATCAAAATTGGTTCAGTTCATAGCCAAACGCATTCCGTCCTGAGGAAGTAAGTAAGTTCTGGAAGTTCAGCTGCCTTTTAGTAGCCTCTGAGCTCTGATTTTTGCTGAAGATAACGCAGTGCCTCCCCAAGCCTTAGAAAAATCTAGAACCCATCCAGATTTCCGAGGTTCCTCGAATTCAGAGATGATGAAAATAACCTAAAGTGTAAATAAAGTATGTGAAAGTGCTTTGCCAAGAGAAAAATGGTTTTGTTAACATTAATTATTAAGTAATGATTGCCGTTGACAAAATAAATATTGCTTGAAAGAAATACCCACCGAATTCGGTTAGAATCAGACTGTGCATGTGAACCAATTAGTTTAAATAACTGCTCCACCATATAAATACAAGTCCTAAACTAAACTCCAGCGCTGGCGATAAAATCCTGGGTTTCCTACCTTCGTCAGGGACAGACATATTCCCGGGAGACCGCACAGGCCACACCCTCGGCCAGCCCGAGCGATGAGGCGGCTTCTCGCCAGCCCCACCTCTGCTCCGGGAGCCACCTCCACCCGCCATCACAGCCCCGGGCAGCGCTCTCCTCGCCGGCCATTCTCCCTCCTTCCTACCGCTACGATCCGGCCCTTCCCCACTCTTCCTTCAGGTATTTCCTCAAGCTGAGGGGAACCGGGATACCCTACCCGCAGCGCCGGCTCCGTCTCCGGCTTCTTGCACCAGCAGAGGCGCCTGGGTCGGGGTCGCGGTCGCGGTCGCGGGCAGGGAGGCAGTGCTGACGCCGGACACACTGCCTGCAGAGGTGCGCTAGCCGGGAGTCCCGAGAGCTTGCGCAGCCGCAGAAGGCGCCGGCGCGGAAGTAGGTGCCGAGCCGGCTGCACTTCCGCCCTCCGGGAACCAGCGAACACCACCGGCGGCGACACAGAACGCCGGAATCTCAACGCAAGTCCAGTCACCCTCGGCGCCCGGAGATGACGTCACGAGACCTCACGCGGCCCGCACTCCGCCCTTCTGGTACAGTTCAACCCGGCGAGAGCGAGGCCACGCTGGAGCATGCGCAGCTAGAGCAAGGCGCTCAAATGGGCGGGGCGAGGTGGGACGGGGCGGGGTCAAGTCCCTGACCATTTCAAAGAGTACGCTTTTCCGAGAGAGCTGACCTCTTGGTGTTTGATGGTTCTATTACAGCAGTGAGTTTTTAAAATACTGAGACACTGCCTTACTTGGATTGAAACAGCTTTCTCCCACGCATCACAATAATTGATAAAATATTGGTTTCTTTTTTTTTTTTCAATGTTGGTTTTCAAAGTTTTCACGAAATCCATGGTCTCATTGATTCCCTGTCGCGGCAAGCATGAATAGCGGTATTTAACGGAAGAATATGTCTACAAACCAAAATCAGACCCGTGCCACCCAGTCCAACTTCCTGTGTATTTCTTAGGAAGAGCACTCTAAAAACGAAAACATGACTAAGGTCTAGGCAAAATACTCCTGTCCTAAGTAACTTATTTTTGTCTTTCAAGACAGCCCCTAAAGATTTCCCAATGCACCCTTCACTTAGCTACAAAGAATTCTAAGGGGGAGAGGGGAAGTGGTTTTACCCACCTTGTTCTGCTTCATTCAAATTTATGGTTGGATATGGTCTGAGTTAAAAAGAAATTATATAGGTGTTAGACATAGTGTTAACCATGTGACGTTAGTGGTTAAACTAGACCTTTATAACCTTCCTCTTTTGGCCCCCCCACCTTTTTTTCAATACTCTGTACTTAGAACTATATTTTTAAACATTCCAGGAAAGTCTTAGTCACCTGTAGCCCCCTCTTCCTGCCTCTATCAACTTTGTAAATGGTAGCCAATCGGGCACCCCAGCTGTGCCCCCTTACCGGTGGCGTTCCTCCTTATATCAGCCTCTGTGATTCTGTAACTCCTTGGAGCACTTTGTCAAGATCTTCCCCCACTTCACAAAACACCCTTTTGTCTTTAATTAAACTCCTTATTTTGTTTTCCTGTCTGAAAATTAATAAACTTGCTTCTCAAGAGATTTGAGTTGGATATAGCCAGCTGTCTTAGAACCAATTGACTTGGTTTCCCTTTTTGTTGCATGTGCATAGTGTGCCTACTACGGAAGTGCTGTACTGAGACACAAAACAGATTCTTAATTACTGGGAAGAGTCAGAAAATCCAAATAGGAGATAGCAGAATTCTTCATTAAAAAGAATCTTCGTGGAGCTTGACTAGTACAATGTTTGTACGTCTAGTCCAATGTTTGTACAAGTAGTACCAACGGTGAATCCCAATCCATTGGTGGGTCATCCAATCAATTTAGTAGATCAGCAAAATAATTTCTTTTACAAATCCAATACAAATAGTCCCAAGGAAGTAGTGATTAAAGATGTCCCACATGTCCAACTTTTTCAAAAGGCTCTTCCACTCCATTATCCCTATTATCTAAGACCATGTCTCCCTTCCGTATCTTCCTTCATGTCCAGGGTTCTGCAAGTCCCTACAACATCTCACAGAACTCACAAAGCATGGCTCCCATGGTTGTGGGTGCCGGTTAGTCCTAAATGCAAAGTTCTGACGTCCATCAGGAGGATCTCCCACTTCGACAAGGCAGGGGAGGTGGTGAAATCAAGCTGGTTAATAGGCCACAATTCTAGCCCCAAGAAGCAGTCCTGTGCCAGAAGCAAAAATGAGAGAAAGTCTAAGCAGGTCTGCCATGCTCAGTCAGGAAAGGGAGGTCACAAAAACAATGGCTTTGGTGGAGGTGCGGTTTTTGCCTGCTACAGACCATACCCCCAAGAAAACAAAGGGTAGTGACTTGATTAATCGCTTCTAGTCAGATGGAGGCTTAGAATACCTTCCACCTGGGGCCTGTTTATTAGCAGAACAGAGAACTCCCCCCCAAATTACAACCACGACACAAAAACAAGCCACCTCACTGCTGTGCAGCCACGTCTTATTCATAGCAACCCTATAGGATAGAGTAGAACTGCCATTTGGGTTTCCAAGTCTGTAGACCATGGTGGGAGCAGAAAGCTTCATCTTTCTCCCACGGGCAGCTTGTGGGTTCAAACTGCAAACCTTGTAGTTAGCAGCCCAACACATAACCCACCTATGTCACCTGGGCTCTTCAACCCCAGACATAGAGGCTACAATTGACAATACATTCCAAAAAGAGGTGTTATGGCCAGAAGGTGAATATTAAGCAATTGACTACATTTCTGGATCATAGTTGGCATTTCAAAACATGAAATAGAAAATACCAGCATGTTTCACTTGTGTTAAGGGTATATATTATTTACTGAATTTTTTATTTCAGTATTAATGGATGTACACTAAGTATGAGTGTGAGACGTATTTCTCAGAATGAATAAAAAACTCACTGCCATCAATCAATTCTGGCTTATAGTGACCCAATCAGAAAGAGTAAAATTGCGTTTGTGCATTTCTAAGACTGTAAATCTTTATGGGAGCAGACAGATTCCTCTTTCTTCCTCTGAGTAGCTGGTAGGTTTGAACAGCCAACGTGGCAGTTCACCATCCAATGCATAGCTCACTATCCTACCAGGGCTCTTTTGGAATGAGTAGCATTTTTTAAAAAAAGGGAAAATGTTAACCCTCAAACTGCATAAGGGTTAGGTCTTGAACGTTATTCTTGTTCAGTGTCATCGAGTCCGTTCTGACCGTATGCACAGCAGAATGAAGCACTCCCCGGTCCTGTGCCATCTCACGGTTATTCCTGGACTTGAGCCCATTGTTGCAGCCCTGGGTCCATCCATGACATTAACCACCTTCCTCTCTTTCCTGCCCCTCTACTTTACCAAACATGATGTCCTTCTCCAGGGACTGGTCTCTCCTGACAACATGTCCTAAGTACATCAGAGGAAGTCTCACCATCCTTGCTTCTAAGGACCACTCTGGCTGTACTTCTTTCAAAGTAGATGTATTTGTCCTTTTGACAATCCATGGTACTTTCGATCTTCTTTGCCAGCACCATAATTCAAATGCATCAATTCTTCTTCGGTCTTCCTTATTCAATATCCATTATCCAACCTTCACATGCATGTGAGGCAATTGACATGGCTGTGTCAGGCATACCTTAATCCTCAAAGTAGCATCCTTGCTTTTCAATACTCTAATGAGTTTTCGTAGAGCAGATTTACCCAATGCAATGTGTCGTTTGATCTCGTGACTACTGCTTCTATGAGCATCGATTGTGGACCTGAGCAAGAGGAAATCCTTGACAACTTCAATCTTTCTCCATTTATCATGGATGTTACCTGTTGGTCTGATCGTGAGCATTCTTGGTCTTCTTTACGTTGAGTTGCAATCCATACTGAAGGCTTCAGTCCTTGATCTTCCTCAGCAAATGAGTCAAGTCTTTTTCCTTTCAACAAGCAAGGTTGTGTCATTTGCACATCACAGGGTGTTCATATACCTTCCTCCAATTCCGAAGCCACTTTCTTCTTCACATAATCCAGCTTCTCTGATGATTTGCCCAGCATATAAATTGAATAAGCATGGTGAGAGGATCCAACCCTGACATACACCTTTCCTGATTTTAAATTATGCGACATTCCCTTGTTCTGTTCACACAACTGCTTCTTGATCCATGTACAGTTTCCCCATGAGCTCAGTAAAGTGTTCTGGAATTCCCATTCTTCTCAAGGCTGCCCATAGTTTGTTATGATCTACACAGTTGAATGCCTTGGCATAGTCAATAAAACACAAGTAAGCATCTTTCTGGTATTCTCTTCTTTGAACCAAGATCCATCTGACATCAGCAATAATATCCCTTATACCATGTCTCTTCCGAATCCAGCCTGAACTTCTGGTAGTTCCCTGTCAAAGTAATGCTGCAACCCTTGTTGACTGATCTGCAGGTGAATTTTACTTACATTCATATCAATGGTATTATTCTATAATTTGAGCATGCTGCTGGGTCACTTGTCTTTGGAATGAGTATAAATAGGGATCTCTTCCACTCAGTTGGCCAGCAAGCTGTCTTCCAATCTTCCTGGCTTACATGAGTAAGTGCTTGCAGTGCGTCATCAGCCTGAAGTACTTCAAAGGGTAGTCCATCAATTCCTTGAGCCTTCTTTTTGGCTAATGCTATCAGCGCAGCTTAGACTTCCTCCATCAGCACCATGGGTTCTTGCTCACATGCTACCTCTTGAAAGGGTGGATGTCCACTAGTTCTTTGAGGTACAGTGCCTGTGTATTCTTCCCATCTTTTATGGATGCTTCTTGAATCATTCAGTATTTTATAGACTCAATATTGCAACTCAAGGCTTGAATTTTCTCTTGGGTTCTTTCAGTTTAAGATATGCCGAGCATCGTCCGTCCTTTTTGGTTTTCTAACTCTAGGTCTTTGCACATTTCGTTATAATCTTTTACAATCAGAATGCTCCTTGGAAACAATGATGGTGAGCCTTCAGCTCACATATATTTTTTAAAATCATTTTATTAGGGGCTCATACAACTCTTTTTTTAAAAATTATTTTATTGGGGGCTCATACATTTCTCAGGGGCTCATACAACTCTTACCACAATCCACACATACATCAATTGTGTAAAGCACATTTGTACATTTGTTGCCCTCATTAATCCCAAAACATCTGGTCTCCACCAAAGCCCCTGGCATCAGCTCCTCATTTTTCCCCTCCTTCCCCGCTCCCCCCTGCCTCACGAACCCTTAATAATTTACAAATTATTATTTTGTCATATCTTGCACTGTCTGATGTCTCCCCTCACCCACCCTTCTGTTGTCCATCCTCCAGGGAGGAGGCTATATGTAGATCCTTGTAATTGGTTTCCCCTTTCCAACCCACCCTCCCTCCACCCTCCCAGTATCTCCACTCACACCACTGGTCCTGAAAGGATCATTTGCCCTGGA